AGCCCCTCAGACAATCTGAGCATTTGATTTGACAATTCATATGGGATAATTGATGATGTGGTACCTTATTAAAATATAATTTTATCTATTAATTACGTCTAAATTAACTTATCCAATTGGTTTAGTATATTATTATAATATAAATATTATTTTACTTTAAACTAAAACATATTGATGTGGCACCTTATTAAAATATAATTTTATCTATTAATTGCGTCTAAATTAACTTATCCAATTGGTTTAGTTTATTATTTAGTATATTATTGTAATATAAACATTATTTTACTTTAAATTAAAATATAATATGTTGTACTATAATTACTAATTAATTATTATATTACATTATATTATATTATTTTATCATGCTATACTATATACTAATTAATATAATATAAGATCAATATATTTAATATAATATTTTAATAACATAATATTTAATATACTACATTATTCTATTTATACAAAAATATAAAAGGTTATACTATAATTACTAATTAATATTATTAATTATTATATTATATTACATTATATTAGTATGCTACATAATATAATAATTGATATAATATATGCATATTATATTTAATATAATACTTTAATAATACATTATTTAATTTAATATATTATAATAATATATTATTATCATATAATACAATACATTTTAGATATTTTTTATATTTTATAGTAATTATCTATAATATTATACTATATTTAATTACTAATATAGTATTATAAATAATTATATTGAATAAAAATATTATAATATTTATGCGATAATTTTAACCTATGACTCAATTCTAATATATTAGATTAGATATTATATTAAATATATATTTTATATATTATATCAGTTATTTATATATACCATACTATTATAATATAATATAATAATTAATAAAATTAATAAAATATTATGATATAATATAATTATTATACTATAACATGATACCTTTTAATATATATTATTTTAATTTATCATGTAAATATTATATATTATATATATATATATATATAATATATATATATATATTATATATATATATATATATATATATGGGAAAAGTGAATCTTAAGTGACACCCTAGGCTCCCACCTAAGGACTGCGGTCTAAAATCACATCATTCTTTAATTTTTTTTTACGATCCGCCCGTTGAACTTGATCTAACACGTTCTTAAACTCAAACACATCAATTTTGGGGTGAACCCGTGTGTTTTGACCATTCGTTGAGTCGTCCAAAAAGTTCTATTCATTCGAAACCGTTAAAATTGCGCTGCGAGTGGTGTAGGGTCAAAACACGACGCGGTTCGGTTCATCCAAAATTGGTGTGTTTAGGTTAAGAACGTGTTAGATCAAGTTCAACGGAGCGGATCGTAAAAAAATATTAGGGAATGATGTGATTTTAGGCCCGTGTCCTTAGGTGGGAGCCTAGGGGTCACCTTAGATTCACTTTTCCATATATATATTATATATTATATATATATATATATATATATATATATATATATATATATATATATATATATATATATATATATATATATAATATATATATATATATATATATAAATATATATATATATATATAATTTTAATTATAATATATATTTTAAAAATTTTACATTGAATAAAGTAAAATATTATAATATTTTTATAGTTCAATATTATAATTATTTTACTTATTCAATGTAATATTTTTAAAATATAATTAAAATATATATATATCTATATATATTATATATATATATATATATAATATATATATATTATATATATATATATATATATATATATATTACATATAATTAATAATATATATTAAAAGGTATCATGTATATGTATAATATATATATCATTATATTATTATATTTTATTAAATTATTATATTATATTATAATAGTATGTCATATATATAATAATTGATATAATATATAAACAATGTATTTAATATAATATCTAATTTAATATATTAGAACAGAGTCATAGGTTAAAATTTACTGCATAAAATATTATAATATTTTTATTCAATATAATATTATTTAAAATACTATATAGTAATTAAAATATAGTATAATATTATATAATAATTACTATGAAATATAAAAAATATCTAAAATGTATTATATTATAGTACAATAATATATTTATTATATTAATATAATATAATATAATCACATAACATGATTCATATTATATTATATTTTATAATTAAATGTAATATACTAACATATTTATTAATTTTAATATGTTATATTATATTATATTATATTATATTATTGGTTTAATATAATACACTATAATATAATTGCTACAATAAAATATCAACTACAATTAATATAATATATTTTATAATAATATATGTTATTAAAATATTATATAATATTATAATAAATATGTTGTACTATTATATAATGTAGTATGTGATATTGCATAATAATATATAATAAATATCATAAAATAAATCATACATATAAATTAAACTATAATAATGTTTTATTTTATTACATGATAATATAATATAATATAATATATTGAATATATTGTTACTTTATATTTTATATATCATCATATATTTATAATATAATTAGCATGTATTAGTTAAGTAATACAAAAAGGTTTGAAAATTATCTCAATATATTGCCTTCAAAGTGGAACAAAATTGTTCCAATATGGAGGATAGGATAAATTTTTACTATTGAGATAAAAATTTTGTATATGAGTGGGGTAATTTTATCCCGAGTGATGAAATTGTCTCACTGGTGTTTTAAAAAACCAATAACACAAAAATGTAATAGCATTGTTCCTATGTCCCAATGAATAACATTATGAAATAGAATCCCAAAATTATCTCATTGTCCCCCCAAATATCCCAGTGAATAAACCCCCCTAAGGAAATAATGAGAGGACATGAATCAGTCTCACCTTGATGCGAAGTTTATCTTCAAAACTAAGTGACTAGGCTTTTACAAAAACCTGGATTGGGACAGAGCCTAAGAATCTGTTTGCACGCGTTATTTTTCTTTGTTATAGTAAGTCAAAGCGTTGTAACTAATCTAGACCTCAAATTTCTATCCAAACCCTACTAAATAAAATCAATTTGATAACCTTGTACAAAGTATAAGCTAGTCCAATTTTGTATATTGGCTTCTTCATTGTTTACCTATGCCATCTAAGCAACGAAAAACTCAAAAAATTGCTGGAAAAATGGGGCAAAATCCTATGGCACAGTAAGTTCCTTCATCTATTTTTATTTACCTATTTTGGGTTTTTTATTTTTCAAATAATTCAGCACCGAAGTTCATATCAACGCCAGCAAGCAACACCATTCCTAGAAGAATTCTTCTGATAAAAAAAAAACGCAAGATGACAAGCATAAGTTCGCCTCAATTCACAAAGAGTACAAGCCTGAAGTTCACACAATTCTCACATTTATCAAATATAACATGGCCTAGGAGAAATTTTCTATAACATTCAATATGAAATTCTTATATATAGACATAAACAGGTCCAATTTGTTTTACAACATATTCATTATTTTCCTATTACCTCCAAAAAATAGGGGACAATTAACTTGTCTTTAACTCATCATGGACCATTTGCATTTCAGGCAAGATACCATAAGTTTTTTCTTTTTTGACTGTTTATTAATTGTATATTGTAGAGTTCACTTTCTCATCATCTAAATTCGATTGAGTACCTGCAAATAGCCAACCTAGAAGATATTTTCTGATAAAATGTCAAGATGAATGACAAGCATCAGGTTCATCAGATATCCAAGCAGCATTATTCTTCTAAACAGAATAAATTATATTTGCTTTGCAAGTCAGCTAATCTATTAGATTCCAGGACACCCCACCAGATTACAAAAAAAAAAAGGGACAAAAAAGGAATTGAAACTAAAAGCAGAGACTTTGAGAATTATTAGAGTTAAACCTATGCTCCTGTTGCATATCGTTAAGACAAATTGGCGAATCCAAAGGTAGGACTTTGAGGCATCCTTCTAGAAATTTAGATGTTAAAGCAAATTCCTTTTCTTTACCCTCCTCAGTCCTCAGTCCTCACTCATCCTCCCATTTGCTTAGTTTAGCAATAAATTTCCAAAGCCAAGTGATTCCTTCCTAAATCCAATTTTTTCTCTAAAAGATAAACAAACATCACAAATCCGCATCCCAAATTTATCTTGAAAGCTAAATAAATTCAGTCAAAACGCAACACTTAATGCCAATACAAAGTGGTCAACTGTAATTGTATCATATTGCCTTAACTGAGTACTTTGCGTATGATCATACATAAATAATGTGATGTACTGAGAAATATTGGCTGATTACTTGTATTCGGCTTTAAGAATCATCATTTGCTAATCAATCCTATTTGAGGCAACATCGAATGATAAAATGAGTTTTTTCTCTGCCAACTGTTTTCCCTGTTTAGCGTTTGTATACTTTCTCAAATGTAAGTTTCATGTCAATGCTTGCAAACAATAGCTATGACCATCTTAGGATAATGATAATCCTCACAGCGGACGGTTTTTTTTTTTAAAAAATCATCTTATTCTTGCTACAATGATCAAAGAGTACCGGTGAATAAACAATACAGGTAAAGAAGCAATAATGCTGAAAAATCAAAGTATGAAACTGGCAGTTTTTACAAATTAAATAGTGAAGAAAATATCCTGTTTACAGTATTCTTTTATATGTTCATATATATTCATAAAGCTAGAAAATTCAGAAGATACAAGAATGTTTCTAAATATTGTAAAAATTGAACAACTCAATTTCTAATGTTAGTAAATTTAGATAGCGAGTAAAACAAAACAGGCATCGCAATGATAAATAACTAGCTTAGCATCTAGACGATCTGGATGATTAGCAATCAACGACTCGAATCGCTTTTTATCATGCTTATATCCTGATCAACAGAAAAAACAAAAAGGAGAGAATTAGAGGCCAATGATTCCTTGGGGAACTATTATGCCCCATTCCTATCAAAGGCCAAACAACAAAACAATGTGAAATATTCATGATTTATTAAGATAAAGGGAATGATTGAATGCATCCGACTTGATGGAAGAAAATGTATGAAGCACATACATCAGAATTGTTACAAGAAGGTTGAACAGTCTCCAAGGATGAGACTGACAGCAATAAATGAGAATATACCTTCTCAGGATTAAAATGAACACAAAGGACATTACAGGCAGAAACAGCGAAGGGCGCGCTTTCTTTTATAAATTGCTCTGCTTACCGAAAATATGAGATCGCAATATCCACTGAACTCTTTAAGTCATTTCGCTGCAATCTACTTCAAAGTGCCCGAGCTATGTTTTTGAATTCATTCAGACAAGATTGCAAAATCTTTTGACGCTTCTGGAGGGACTGACGCTCGCTATGAAGGATATCGATTGCCCCGGGTGCAACAAACATATCCATGAATTTTTCATCATTCACCGCAAAAAGATCTAATGCAAGTGCAACAACCAGTCTCTCTCGGCTATATCGTGCAAATAAATAAAAAATTTCATATTAGAACAAAAATCAAACATATGCCAAAACTGAACTTTAGTATAGTATTAATTGCATCTCATCAATTTTTGGGTTAATTGCACATAGACCCCCTATAGTATTGTTGTTTTGAACTTACTACCCCTGTACTTTCGTTGTTGCATATAGGCCCCTGGATTAAATTTTTTGACTCAATAATTTCACCCAAGGACAATATATGCATAAAAATCACCCAGGAGCCAAAAAATATTTTATTGTATTTTTCGAACTTACTACCCATGTAGTTTCATTATTGCAAATAGATCCCTGGGTTAAAATTTTTTCCTCTTTTACCCTCATATGGACTCAATATTTTCTCCCACGGACAATATCTGCATTAAAATCACACAGGGTCAAGGAGCCAAAAAAAAAATTAACCTAGGGGGTTCATCTACAAAAAGCACGTGACTTGAAGACAGCAAATACTGCAGGGGGTCTTTATGTTAATTTTTACTCGTGGAAGAAACAAAGAGGGCATGTTCCCAACAGTGTAAGAGAAGTCTGAAAGGATGATGCTTGTACACACATTTTCATTTTCATACTTCGAGAGAAAACAAAGAAGGCGCCGGACCAAAGATTTATAGATAATAAAGCGCGTGTAAGGCTTATTTAGAAAGGCTTACCATGGAGTTAGGAATCCAGAGTTCAAGGCGGAAGGAACATTTCTCTCAATCAAAACTTCTCGAATCCTTGCAAAATGTTGAGCAGCTAACGAGCATATATCTGAGTACGATGACACTGGTCTCGTCCCCAATTCACTTGCACGAAATAGAAGACCTCCATTTTGGTTTTGGGTAGAGTTTCTTCCATTGGTTAAGACTCTTGAATGCCGTTTTCTTGCTCCCATGTCTACGCCATTTTCTTTTTTCTTAACCCCAAAACTAAGGTCACTTGGTTGATCAGGGGATGGCGTCTCGGGAACTGTCAATTGGCTTTCTCTGAGAGCTTCTCTGTGCTCAGTTCCTTTTCCAGGTGTTGTTTGTTGCTGATCTTTTGGGGGTATATTCTCCTGATCAGTGTCTAGGTTTTGATCTTGGAACGTTCCACATTCTGATAGATCAAGAGAAAACTTGGTGGTTGGAAGCTGACTGCCTCTAGCAAAACCGACAAGATCATATTCATAGCAAACTTGCGAATAGGGACTTGTCACTGAATCAAGGTGATGACGAACCAGTTCCTTGCACTGCTTGGAGAGGTCACGAATAAAGTTATTATAGGAGCCCCTTATAGCAGCATGAAAACCAATGTATCCATCCATGTCTCCATTTTTCCTCCGATCTACAACAGATGCAGAACGCATGCTTAACAAACAGTTTTGGCCATTAGATAAAACCCAGAAAGAAAAAGACAGAACCTTCATATTGTTATGCACTATGAAATAATGTCATCCAAACTCCGAGAAGTCATCCCAGGTGAATATAAGCACAGGTTATCATTATGATAGGATTCAATATGGACCTTGTGGCACTTAAAATGGAAATGCGGAGCAATGAGCTAGTGAATGCAAGTAAACAACTAAAGCAAGTTGAAACATTAGTGCAACAAGTCACTTACAATCTGAGTCATGGCTGCGGTTTCGCTCCATAGCCAGATCAAACAGACTTTTCAAAACAAAAGAAAGCCGCTCAATGGCAGTATCGAGCAGAGGAGCAATCCATGACCGTGCAGCTGCACGTGCTATCTCAGCAGCAGCCTCCGATATTCCCCTACCTCCGCCTCTACAAGCATGCGCAAGTAGAATATTCGCAACCTGGCTTCAAAAAATCATAACTGAGGCAACCTTCAAAAAATTGGAAAAGTTTTTCTCTGGCCTTTGTAATAGAATAATTACCTTTTCCCTTGAGACTTGTGGGCATTCAATTGAATATGCAGCACAGCGAAATTCATGCATTACTCTCTCAAATGCAGCTCCGCCGTAAAGCTTAAGGGAATAGTTTGGTGGCTTCACAGCAACTGTTACACCGGGCCAGCTCCCTATATTGCTTTCTGACCGTTCTTCATCAGTAGTTCTGCCCCATTGTTCAGGAGCAGGATCTGCCGACCCATCAATCAAAGCTTCCTTTAATAATAACAAAAGGAAATTATAACGAGATCAATTAGTTTTATTTATTAGCAATAGCAATAAAAACAGGGGTCTTTTCACGAAAACCACCCTTTATAGGTAAAATGGGGTGGCAATATTAAAACACCTTTGATGTTCATTATTAATAAAAAGACCTGGTAGCAATCAACCACTTCACTCACGTTCCCAACTTCTGTTTTAGTCTTCCATCAACCCAATCTTATTGCCTATCTCAGTAAGCTCAGCCTTCAATTCCTTCTTCTCAGCCAGAAGCATATTCGACATTTAAAGGTCAAAATGGTTGATTGCTACCTGAACCACTTCAAAGTTGGTTTCGAGGCTAATCGAACTTTAAATATGGCTTTCATATCATCACCCTAATTTAAAGATGGTTTCTGTGAAACAGTCTAAAACCAAAGAGAAAAGTGAAGAAAAAACAGTACCACATGACTGCAAATAGAAGCAGTATATAGAATGGCAGATCTTCGAAGATGAGAAACATCAGAAGTGGCCTGTATCTTTGATTCCATCCGAGCCAACTCACTGGAGACTTCACCGCAACGCTGATCTAGCAAGGCAAGTGTTGCTGGAGCTGCCTCTTTGTACCTTTTCTGAAGCTCTGATTCCAAGTACTGTCTGAGACAATTGAAACCGATAAAAGAACCAAACTTCTCTTCAGCAAATCCTCCCTTGATATTTTCACGAAGATGACGCAGCACATCACTGTCCACTTGAGAAATCTGCCTTCGAAATTCCTCATTAGACACTGTGCCTCTATCTTTTGGCAGAGCTACAAAGTACGGATGTATGTTGTCTCCAAGATAACCACTCGCACTAAGATAACTATCCACTTCCCACTTTTCAGTAAACTCCTGCAGGAACCAATCAGTTACTGTTAAGAAAAGAGAGCAACAACAAATTTGTTCACAGAAAGACATCTGGGAATCCTAGTTGTTACCTTCAGCCGGTTATCAAACTTGGAAATGACGATAATTGTCCTCTTGAAAGTGGGATCAATCTCACGAATAGCATCTAACCAGAGTGAAGAGCACCATTCTACACTACTTTGTTGGAGGAACAAGAGAACTCGATGTGGAGGACTAGCTAGCGACTTCACCATTGATAAAATTTCCTCAGGTGTACTCTCTGGTTCACCCTTCTTTGCCTGAAAAAGAAAAAGCATGAAACAAGAAAATAATAGAATGCCTTAAGAAATTTATATTTTGGGTACATGTATAAATGATGTAGGGCACCTTAAGAACAAAACCGGGGGTGTCAATGATTGTGAGATTGGGACAGTGAGCATATTCTGCTCTCATCACGATTGGTTTTGCTGAGACCGCAGCTTGGACCTTTCTTAGGTGTGCCTCTGTCCGGGATCTTATAAGATCAGCAATTGCAGACGCCAGCACCATTGGACTTCCATATTCTTCCGAATCTTCCTCCTGAAAATCAATCCTATGTGTTTAACTGAACAAAAAAGCAATTTTCATCTTTAAGATAAGAACTAGAGAGAAATATTTTGATGACAATGACAACTTGACTAGCAAAGGTTAACGCCAAAGATAGGAGCAGGAGATGGTCAATTATAATTGAATGGAGAGAGCTCATAAAGAAAACTAAAACTGCCCTTGTGTTGGTCTAAAATCTCCACAAGCATAAATAAACATTGCAAATTATAAAATATGCTAAATTTTAAGGCCACGGATTAAAAGTAATAGAAAATGACGCAAGAATTGCTTTCATTTGTTAACTAGAGATAGATAAGTAATTGAGTAAACATGTAATTATTTTATCTGTTGGTGGAGAATAGATGGTAATATAGAACAGAGCTCGAAACAAATGAGAAAGATCAGACGAAACTATGTAAGTTCAAGAAAATAAAACACCATTGTAAACAATATACTAGTAAATTCCATATCACTGAGTAGAACAGTTTATATCGCACTACATTAGCACTAATATAATAGATCTATTTATCATCAGGGCGCCTAAAGGAAAACAACGAATTCAATAGGAAAATCCTCAACCTTAACCTAATCAGAACTCAAAAAGAGCTGTATATATAAACCCTAACAAACAGAAATATCCCACGACAAATCCTACAAAAGTAAGACCTGAAATTAAAATCAACCTAAAAAGCCATAAATTTCATGGTATGCCAACGAGATGCGATGTGGGAAACCCATAACCAGAACAAGAAACCTACATAAATAATGAAATCAAACCTATATTTAATGTAGCTAAGCAACAAGCCGCTATATTTTCATAATCATCTAATCAAATTCTATAATCTTTCAAATAGGGAACAGAACCCAATTGGCAAAACCCCCAAAAATGTAAAACTGAACCTGATGTCAGAACAGCATGCAGCATTAACACAAGAACACCTGGTTATAGAGGCACTACCAAAGGCCCTAAATTTTAGAGCGCGGCGCGTCAAATTACAATTTTTAATCAACAAAACTATCACAGTCGATCAAGTCATAATTGTTTCATCAAGAAAACAGAAGTCTAACTGACAACACCCTAAGAATCCGACCTGGAACCAACTAATCAAATTACAATCCTCAGAGGCAACACCTAGAACCCCAAGATTTAGAGCACAACCGATCAAATTGCAACCTTTAACCAAGGAACAGAACCCAAAACCCTCGATTGGCAAAACCCTAACAAGAACCTCACCTGGAACCGACACCGGGGCTCGAGGGCCGTAGGATCATGGACCATTTGAAGAACGAGAGGGCGTCGGGTTCCCATCTCGACCTCGCGAACATTGAACCGAAACCCTAAGAGAGCCTCAAGGAGAGAGCTCTTGCCATCGGATTGGCCGCCGAGGGCGACGATCTCCGGTATCGGAGCTTCTCCTGCCGGAAAGCAACGGCAGCAGCCTGGAGGCGATTGGGTAGGCGGCTCGAAGCCGAGAAATTGAACTGCAGTGGTGGCGGCGGAGTCGGCATAGGGCGGCGGGGGCTGCTACGTTTTTTGCGTTGAGTGTTGGGGTTTTGATGGGGGTGGTGGTGTTGAGAGCGTGGGTTGATGCCATTAGAGAGAGAAAGATTTGGAAATTTGAAAAGGGGAAGAAAGGAGGGAGATGGGGGGGCAAAAAAAATAAAAAGAAAGGGAAAAAAGTGCCCGGATAAGGGAAGGGAGGAACCGGTAATAGCCGGTGAACTTTTGTGGAGATTTTGAAATTTTAGGGTAGGCCGGCGAGTGAAGGGCGAACTGCGAAGTAACTGGGCAGCTAATCTTGGCCCACCAAACAAGTGTTTGAAACTAGTCGGCGTTTATAAAGTTGGACTCCTCAAGAAAATGAAGGCCATGATAACACGGGAAAGCCCAATCCACTACAGTAGCAGGCCTGATCAAAGATTGAGAGGGGGTTATTACTGGGACGTGTGAGGGGTAATGGGGTAAATTTCGGTGTTTGGAGCAATAGTGGGATAATTGCGCTCTCTGGGGGTCATTGTCCCTCCCACGCACCAATCTTTTGCCCCCATGTCAAATTTGTCCCTTTTTTCACATTGGGACGATGGGGCGATGATATCCCACTTTAAGAGAGTGTTTGGTTCAAGCAAATTTTTTATATTTGGTGCGCATTATAAGTTTTTGGGATTAAAAAATGAGTTTTTTTTACTTCATATTTGGTGTTTGTTTCAAGAAAATTTGTTCTAGCATTAATAATGAGATGATCTAATATTCGCTATTCATATATACAGTAATGCTACAATAAATTCCTATAACATTGTTACTGTAACACAAACTGGAGGATCCAAGATTCACATTTCATGCTACAATAAATTAATGTAGCATTATTACAGCAACACGGGTTCATGTTAACTATTTTACAGTGCTTGTTAACTATATTTAGGTTCATGTTAACTATTTGAGGGTGCTTGTTAACTATATTCAGGTTCATGTTAACTATTTTAAGGTGCTTGTTAACTCTATTCAGGTTCATGTTAACTATTTTAAGGTGCTTGTTAACTATATTCAGGTTCATGTTAACTATATTCAGGTGCTTGTTAACTATTTTAAGGTGCTTGTTAACTATATTCAGATTTCCTTGTGCTTATTTCGCTTTAGGGGGCTGGTTCACAGGTATAACTTTTGTAACTTCATGGTATACACATGGATTGGCTAGTTCCTATTTGGGGCGGCTTTGTGATAATGGAACCAACCTGCAAAAAGCATTAACAATGCAAAGACCAATGCACCAATTACGGTACAATAGAATTGTAATTCACTAGTTATTCCAGATGCTCGCCAAAGCTGAAAAAACTCGGAGGTTATTTGTATTCCTCGGAAATCGCCACCCACATCACCATTCAATATTTCTTGACCTACTATTGGCCAAACTACTTGGGCACTGGGTCTAATGTGAGTAGGATCACTTAGCCATGCTTCATAATTGGAAAAACGGGCGCCATGGAAGTACATGCCACTCAGCCAAAGAAAGATAATGGAGAGTTGACCGATACGCTGCATTTTTGAAAGTTTACCGGAAGGAGTATGTGTGGAAATCTTGGTTCATGTTAACTATTTTAAGGTGCTTGTTAATTATATTCAGGTTCATGTTAACTATTTTAAGGTGCTTGTTAACTCTATTCAGGTTCATATTAACTATTTTAAGGTGCTTGTTAACTATATTCAGGTTGATGTTAACTATTTGACGGTGCTTGTTAACTAATTCAGGTTCATGTTAACTATTTGAGGGTGCTTGTTAACTATATTCAGGTTCATGTTAACTATTTTAAGGTGCTTGTTAGTTATATTCAAGTTCATGTTAACTATTTTACGGTGCTTGTTAATTATATTCAGGTTCATGCCAATGGGAGTGGAGACTTCAAACTGGCATCCAAATGGCAAAGCAAGCTCTTTGTGATGCTTTATCCGTTGAAAGGAAGCCTGAAGCTTTAACATGTTATCTGTGTAACTTAACAAGCTACCAAGAAAAGTTAACATGTTACATGTGTAACTTAACAATCTACACCAAGAAAAGTTAACATGTTACATGTGTAACTTAACAATCTACTTGTGAAAGTTAACATGTTATCTGTGCAACTTAACAAGCTACCAAAAAAAATTAACACGTTACCTGTGTAACTTAACAATCTAACAGAGTAACTTAACAAGCTAACAAAAGTATTTCAATAGTTAATGACTTATATAAGTATTTTAATAGTTAATAGGATAAATTTGTGCATCAATTTTATATCACATTTTCATTATAGTTCACATCCCTACAAAAGTATTTCAGTTCATATACACAGTTACTACATACATACAAAAGTATTTAGCTATTACATCTACGTTCAAGGCAAGATGAAAGCTAAATAACATTGTGCCTACTGAGGCACCAGATTAAGGAAAAGGCCTAGATGGAATTACATTAGTGTAATAATCCATAACTTCACAATACACTGATACTCATTTTCATCTTGATGCAACTAATCTGAAGTCTGGGGAGGATGTGGATTGTGGCAAGAGGATCTCTCTGTTGTCTTGATGCAACTAATCTGAAGTCTGGGGAGGATGTGGATTGTGGCAAGAGGATCTCTCTGTTGGGCCACGTTGTGCAATTCCAGGTGGATGTCATAACCTAAAACAAGCCAAAAAAACCCCAAAACAACCAATCTTTTCCCCTCTTTTTAATATTTATTTATTTATTGAATTTAACTAGAAAATCAATGAGAAATACCTTGAAGGCAATGCGGTCATGGGTTTTGTTGGATAACAGGACATAACACGAGATCTCATTCTCTAACTCAACTAATTAAACCAAAAAAAACATGAAATTAGACGAAGAACTGAACCCGACAAGATGAGGGTGGCCGATGTGGCGGTGGTGGCGGAGTTGAGGAGGCTGTGGAGGATGACCCGAAATGTTGAGGAGGGGCACGACGGGTGCTGGAGCGGCGACGGCGGCGGCTGCGGCGTTGAGGGAGGTGATAACACCTTATGAGGCGGCGCTGGAGTTTGAGAGAGAGGGAGTGGAGTTGGACGAGACGAATAGGTAACCTCACCAAGATAAGCATATTCACCTTATTTTCTTTTTAAGAATTTGTTTTTTCATAATTTGTGTTTGAACCAAACAAGATATTACAAATTTTAGGATTTGCATTCCTATAACAATGTTGAACTAAACAAAATATTAGAAATCTCAAAGCATGTATAAAGCCATATTGATTTAAAATTCTCTATGATATTACAAATTCTAAGATTTTGACATTTAAACCAAACACCTTCTAAGAGCAGATGACATAATTTAGGGAGCCTTCATATAACTATATAACTATGATATTTTAATAAGGTATCATGTCATCACTTGTTCCAATAACAATTTCAAATTATCTTATTATCTCTAATTATCTCACTTTGTCCAATTCAAATTGTCTAAATGAGTTAAAATTGCTCCATTAAGACAACTATCCCATTTGGCCCTAAATTATCTCGATGAATAACCCCCTAAGAAAAACAAAAGATAAAAGATGATGGGGTCAACCGTCCGTATGACAATATTATTTCAAGTGATATAGGATATCGTTGTAAAGTCCAACAATAAAGAGGAGTGGGAATTTTTGATGCTTTTTATTAAAAACTTGCTCATTTCTTTGTTGAAATGCAAATATGCAGGAAATAAAATCTCATGCTAAGCATCCCAACAGGAGGGATGGCAAATGGATGGTTTTGGTTGGGTCATAAATGAGTGGGTACATTTATGACCACTTAACCATTTATAACCCATTTTGCACTTGCTAAATGAGTTGTTCTCATCCACCCATTTACTAAATGGGTGGTTTATGGGTAACCCAATAATCCATTTAGTTATGATACTTTTATATATGTAAGTTTCAGGGATCTACTTGTAAATTTTCAGGGGTTTTTTTGCAAACTTGCAAGGGGTTTTGGTAAACTTTTAGTGGGTTTCTGCAAACTTGCATAAGGTTTTGGTAAACTTTTAGGGGGTTTTCTGCAAACCTTCAAGGTGTTTTTGTAAATTTTTAGGGGGTTTTCTGCAAACTTTCAGGGGGTTTTCTGCAAACTTTTAGGGGGGGGTTCTGCAAACCTTTAGGGGGGTTTTTGCAAACCTTTAGGGGGTTTTCTGCAAACTTTTAGGGGGGTTTTTGTAAACTTTCAGGGAGTTTTCTGTAAACATTCAGGGGATTTTTTACAAATTTTTAGGGGGTTTTCTGCAAAATCAAAGTATATGGTTTCCCCAAAAAGAGAAAAAAAATGGTAAGCTGCCACTAGCTAAGTTTGATTCACGTTAAAATGTTGAAAATGTGTAAATTTCAATGGTAAGCTGCCACTAGCTAAGTTTGATTCACGTTAAAATGTTGAAAATGTGTAAATTTCAGTTCACGATTTCTAATAGTAACCCCTCTAAGTTTGATTCACGTTAAAATGTTGAAAATGTGTAAATTTCAGTTCACGATTTCTAATAGTAACCCCTCAATATTATATTAGGTTACATTATTTGGCAATATTAGAGCTCGAAATTAACCTATGATCCATGATCTGATTTTTTGCAAATCTAAGGCATACACCTGCATTTTCAAATTGAGAGACCAGAGCTGCAAACAAATATGTCTGCTAATGCCCCTACTTGATAAATACATGCTCTGTTAATGCTCTTCAACCGTATACCACGGGTAAATGTTGTACTAGGTGTTAATCACATAAAGATAACACTTGATAAAAAAAAGTAACAAAACTGTAAGAGACACTATAGATAAGATGATATCAATTATCTATATTCTATTATTCATATTATCACCTAATAACGTAGAATATTTAATTAAATATCTGTAATAGAATTCTAGCCTTTTTAATTGATCTTAATTAATATTGCACTTAAATATTTCCTTATCAAGATTTGTTAACAAGAATATTCA